TAATATGTTTGATCATTTAAAATAGATAGCATTATCAGATAATAAATTATAAAACCATATTAAGAAAATATTAAACTAAGAAAACACATGAAAATTACTATATAGTACAACTAGAAAACGCTAGACCGCAAAAGTCAAATATAATATACATTAACAAGTGTGACGACTAAACTGTAAACTCTTCTTCTAATCGATAAGACTAGAAGTTATATGATCTTGATCATAAAGATTATGTGATCTTGATCATAGATGAACGTTGTTTTTCATTCCAAAACTTACTTTCTAGGTATTCCACAAATAAAAGCATCTCTCTAGTATTATTTGAAACGGCAGTTTCATGCATGTCGCTACTACAAGAAAAAGAGTTTTATTAATAATAGAGAACTAGGAAATAATCCGCGTATTGCGCGGCATGAGATCGTGATATGAAATTATTAGTTTTGTTATTTTCAAGATAAGAAGACATCATGTATGTTTAGTCTGAATATTGATTTTATTTTTTTCCTTTTCGGTTTTTAATCTCCTAAAATATAACAATCATTTAAAATCTATATTTCTCTCGGTTTGGTCGGTTAAAATGGTTGAGTTTTGTTTTTTTCGGTTACAAATCAAAAACATTATTATTTATTTGATTTCATGTTATACGAATTTTAGACAATCTTGAAATCAACCAATGTTTTTGTATTATAATTTCTAAACGCTTGCAAAATTAGTATATAAAATAGTTATAATATTTACATATTTGAGATAGAGAATTTAGTATGCATATGCAATCTATTTTTTTCTCTATGTATGAGAACATGTTTGAGATATAATAAAACGTATACATGATACCAAATTTTAAATAATGTGTCTTGTTGTTTTTACTTTAGTATAATAATGGATAAATTCTTATACATTACTTTATTAATTTTATAACATATTTATAAGGCTTTATAAATGTTTAATACTTTTATAAATTATTAATAAAATTTAATGATGATTTTATAAGATTAAAGATGTGGTTGTTTCTAATACTACAAAAACATGAAGTAAATAAATAAATAAGAAAAGCAAATCAAAGAGATAATTTATTGATTAATATGGTAGGAATATTACATATTGGTTTAGAAATCAAAAAAGAATAAAAATAATCTTACATTATTTCTTCGGAAACAGAAAGAAAGTATGACTCAAACGGAAATCATGTAAGGAAAAGAATAAAACCATTGCCATACTTTAGGTAAAAAAGTTGAATTTCTAAACTAATCAATTATCTTAAATAGTATCAACAACTTTATATAACTTAGAAATCTTAAAATATTGATATTTGATAGTATTAATATTAGAAAATTTTATGTGTTTTCTCCTATATAAAACTTTATTACTTTACTTCATAATTTTGTAGTATCATAAGAACATATGTTTTATTCCATTCTAACAACTTTATTAAAAACTTTAATGAAAACATACAACTTCTACAGCATATTGCTAAGAAGATACATCCTGCTGTAAATTTAGGCTGCTAGTAAGTATACTCTGAAAAGGTATAAATGGTAACTGTAAAAGTTATGAAAAAAAAAAAAAGAAACTGTAATTTACATGAAAGTTGAGAGGAGGACAAGAGCTATGTAGACGTATCTGAACTGTGAGGTTTAATTACACTATGCGAGAACTAAAGGTCACGTCTACACATTGGACAAGAACCGTGTCTGAGTAGCCAATTTGTCTATGCATGACATGACAATGTGAAACATGTGATGACAATGATGCAAGCTTCTGACTGTTTCACCAAGTTGGAAATCCTGCAATATCACATATCAAGATTAGATCTGTGATATTGATGTAATGAGCTAAAACGACGAGGCAAACTGATGTCAGAACCTGAAGACAGAACAGGAGACTCTGTTCTCAGAAGCATCTGTGTTAATAAGATCGTCATAAGATGCGTCCATAGCTCTCATCTGATAAGGACAAAGCATCAGTAACAATTGAGTGCCGATTCTGAAACCTTTTGTATGCAAAAGAACATACTTGACTTTGCACTGCACTTAGCAATGCAGGACCTATGCGCTCCCGAACAAGTCTCCCGCTTAGAAGACTAACAATGACATAAATCTACATAAAGAGGAAAATCACTTCCATTTCAATCCACTTGGATTCCAATTTTTCATTTCAAAGAAACTAAATGTTGTTGCTCACCAAGAAGAGAAGCGTTCAAAGATCTCTATGGAGGAAATGGCAAAATATTACATGTTTACAGAGACAAATGCAAAAAAAAAAAAAATACATTGATTTAACTCAAAGGAAACATGAAACATAAATAGTTACCCCCCACAGAGAAAGAGCCAAACACCTTTCCTCCGATAAAGAGGCCTTGATAAGGTTGTTGTTAAGGTAATTTATCTGGATATATATTACACATAAAATTTGATAAATCACAACTGTTTATTCTTGAAATACGGAAAGAAAGGCAATAACTTTAGGGAATATAACATTAATGCTTAGGGGAGTGAGATGGATGATCTAACGGACGCTCTAATGCTTGTTTCTGCCAAAACACTTGATGAACCACTCATGCTTGTATGAATCCACTATGTATCCGATGGTCAATCCAAATACAACTCCAGGTGCAAAGCCTAACCTTGCTGCTGTCCAACTCATCCTTTCGTCCTCTTCTTCTTCTTCTTCTGATGCTGGCGGTGATGTTGGCGCATGTATATCTCCACAAATAACCTTTAGGGAAGAACCAAAGAGTCCAGGGTTTCCCTCGTAGGAAGAGCAGTTTTGTCGTTGGAACTGTGTACCTTGTGGTATTGAACCTACAAGCTGATTATGTGAAACGTTTATCCACTCAAGAGAAGAGAGGTCTCCGAGCTCTGGAGGGATCTCACCAGAAAGCATGTTTTGGGATAGGTCCAGTGATTCCAACGCTGTAATGTTTGCCAAAGACGATGGGATGTGTAACAACCCGTTCCCCCGGCGTCCGACCGGGGTTCAGCAAACGGGTGCTACGGACACGTGTCTACTCAATTAGACAACCCTACGTGCCCTTACTGGTCCCAGGAGTCGGCGGACGCATCTTTAATGAAATTCGATCCACCCATATCCATACTTCTACATACAGTCCTGCGCATAGGGAAAACGGAAATGGAGGGATGAGCAATTGGGGTTACTCAGTGAAGTGACTCTAGCCAGCCTACCCGCATAATTCTCTACACTACCTCATACGGAAATAGGACCGACCATCCACTACATTCAATATGCAACATACAAACCATACAACAACATCTCAACATGGAATTCTAACACCCTAACATTCATACACCGCAAGAACTCAGTCATTGCTTCACATGGATTCAATCACACAAACAATCTATAAACTAGACTCATCAATCAACCTAGACTTAAGGACCTATGGCCGTTTACGGATGTCCCTACACGTTCCGGCTTAACCTGGAAGGGGCGCCCTCTCTCGGGAAATCCGTCCCCCCTACAGCTTCCTAAATGACTATCCGAGTTGCAGCTCGTTGGCTCCCAGCACTCTCTGCCACCCCGGTCTTAATAGCCATATTTGACTCGATCTTAAGGCGCCTATTTCTTATCCCGCAGGTCCCTCCCAGAGGTCTCTTCTGCGTACGCCGTCCTTTCACGGCCACTCACTTCTCGCCCACGGGTACCTCGTGTTAGGCTACAGTCCCGTGGGCCCCTGCGGGTACCTCGTGTTAGGCTACTGTCCCGCAGGTTACACATCCTGGACTCTAGACGCCCACCCGTTCTCGGTGGTCCAAACATGACTTCAAACAGGTTCATTGACACAACTTAATCCTCATACATGTTCTTATCCACTTTCTCATTCTCTTACATGTTCTCATTCACATTCTCATTCACATTCTCATTCTCATTATCATACTCATACTCATACTCATACTCATACTCATACTCATACTCATACTCATACTCATACTCATACTCATACTCATACTCATACTCATACTCATACTCATACTCATACTCATACTCATACTCATACTCATACTCATACTCATACTCGTACTCGTACTCATACTCGTACTCATACTCGTACTCATACTCATACTCATATTCATACTCGTACTCACACTCGTACTCATACTTCTTATCATTCTCATCCTCATACTTAACTCACTTTAAGTCATTCTTGTTTACATTCTTATACTCGACTCTAGACGCCACCCGTTCATGGTGTCTCACACAAGTCACATAGCACTCATATTCTTATACATCAAACCAAAAGACATCACATTCTTTCTAACAACCTAGCTTTCATTCATCATCATCAATGGGACACAAATCACTCACACAATCATTCATACCAATCATTATCCACATCAACACAAGGCAGTTCATTAAGTCCCATTTAAACAGTGTGAATGTTCTTATGTATCATGATTCATTCATCTAACAACCTAACTCCCATTATGATCTATCAACTTAACTTTCAAACAAGGACTATCCAAACCCTAATTCCCGCATCAATCAGAATAGAGATTAAGAAGACAGATCTGGTTTTCGAATCACCTCACCTTAGCAATAGATCTGAGATCTGGATCTGGAAAACAAGGTCTAGAAAACGAAGTCTGGAGATCTGGATCTATGGTTGTCCACAAACTAAGATATGCAACCTCACGGCCACCACCACCACACACGACGGTCACCACCACCACACGCAGCTGCTTCTCGGCAAGGAGAGAGGAGCACACGGCGAGGAGAGAGAGGGAGAAGGAATCGCACGGAGGAGAGAGAGGGAGAGGGAAGAGAGAGAGAGGCGCACATGAGAGAAAGAGAAAGGAAGGCGGCTAGGGTTTTCGTGTCTCCCGGGATTTTTCTGCAGAGCTTCGCTACAAGTTTCTGGATGAGGAGAGAGGAGGGGCTGCAGCTCTATTTATAAGAAAACATAGGGAACCCTAGGTTTTTGGACAAGTGGGCCGTAGAGGAGCCCATTAGTATTCCCAAATTTTTTTAGGCCCGGTACTGGGTTGTTACAGGATGTGTCCCGTGAAAGCGTTTCTTGACAGATTCAGAACATGGAGTTCCTTCAACATACCTATGGATTCAGGGACTTTTCCGTGGATTCTGTTTCCAGAAAAATCAATGATTGTGTAGACTGTGAGGATACGTTCCATCGCCATTGATATTCCTTTGTCCATCAAGACAACTGAAGTGTGGTAACCGTAGCCATTATAATCCCAGATGTAGTCCGGTAGTTTAGAAATATGACGTGGATTCATATCTTTGTTCGAGGATATTGCAGTCCAGTTGAGGAAGTAATCAGATGGTAAGGTGCCGAGGAAGTCGTTATTTCATACATCAATGATTTTCAACTGAGGAAATCCAAACCAAGCTCCATTGGAGTGATGCAACATGCCATGAAACTTGTTGGATCGGAGAACAAGAACTTTTAGATTCTGCAAGGAACTCAACTGGAACGGGAAAGTGTCGTTGATTCGGTTGGTTTCCATATTCAGAATTTCCAGATCAGAACAAGCGGTAAGAGAAGCAGGAAGCTTTCCCTCCAATCGGTTGAGGCTGACGTCAATGTACCTTAGCTTTTTAGCATGCATGAACATATCAGGAAGACTTCCGCTGAGGCTATTGTTACGAAGATTTAGATCCGCAAGAGAGCTTATATGAGTCCCTAAACACCGAGGAATTGGTCCGTGGAAGTTGTTGTTGGATAGATCTATGACGTTAGGAGAGGGTTGTATACCACATAAAGACCGAGGTATCTCTCCAGTAAAGTTATTCCTCGAAGCAAACAAGAAGGTTATAGATGTGTATGGGATGAAGATTCTCCCCTGGAAAGCATTTGACGTTAGATTTAGTGTATGGATGTAACTTCCTGGTACAACTTGCAGGGATCCATCAAAACCGCTTAGGGAGTTGCGAGAAAGATCCAGAATTTGCAACTCTTGTAGTCTCCATAACCAGGGTGGCACTTGACCTTTGATGTTGTTGTTGGAAAGATCGAGAGAACGAAGATTTCTATGGTCTCTTATGGATTTAGGAAACTCAGTGATTTTGCATCCTGACAAGAACAAAGACTTGATATTTGATGAAAAGTCTGAATCATAAGTGATGTTTGCTGTTGAAAGAGGCATGCCCGAAAGAGCTAGTACTTCTAGCTCTTTAAAAGAAGAGAAGACATTCAAGTCAACTCGATTACTGAAATTGTTTGATCTAAGGAATAGATATTGTAAGTTAGATAGAGAGATATTCTCGAATCTAACAATATCACTGAATTGGTTATTCTCCAAACGGATTTCTGTCAATGAAGAGATTTGGAACAGGGATGAAGGAATTGCTCCAGTAAGAAAATTATCACTGGCGTAAAAGCTTTCCAATTTGGAGAGTTGCCCCATGTTTGGTGGGAGGGAACCTGTGAACTGGTTGGAATCGAGACGAATAAGACGTAGGTTGGTTAAGTTGAGTAGTGCAGATGGAAAATTTCCGGTGAGCTGATTAAAGTCAACAGTTAAGCTGGTTAACTGTTTTAGATTGCCAAATGAAGATGGGACCTCACCATTGAAATGATTTGAAGCAAGACGGAAAACTGAGAGATTGGAAAGTTCTCCAAGTGAAGATGGAATCCTCCCAGAGAGATTGGCATAATGAAGTGTCAAAGAAACTAAATGCTTAAGGTTGCCAATGGAATCATGTATAGTACCTGAAAATGATGTTTCCCCAAGGCTTAAGACTTGCATAGAGCTGTTTCTTTGAAATACAGGAAAGCTGCCTCTCAAGTTTGGGTTTAAATACAATATGATGGATTGTAGGTTTGGTATCAGGAATACACTGTTTGGAAATTCTCCAATGAGGTTGCATCCCTCAAGATGTAGAGATCTTAGAGAGTGCATGTAGGAAAACTCGTGGGGGATTTCTGAGGAAATGTTTACAAAGCTCATATCCAAGGCTGTAAGGTTCCTCAGGTTTTGAGCAAGTACATGGAGAAATAAAGGTGGGTTTTCAATGGACAAAGAAAAACAAAAGGATAGATCAAGAGACACCAAATTGGTGAGTTGGAGAATTTCTCTTGGGATATGACCTTTTAGTGAAGAACCAGAGAGGTTTAGTGTTTCTAACAACATGAGATTATTGAACTTAGCTGGGATTGGAGAAAGAGTGAAGTTGTTGTAGGCAAGGTTCAGACTTTTGAGATGTTTCAGGCTAAAAAGACTAGAATTGGGTTCGAGCCGACCATAAAGAAAGCTACAACTAAGGTCAAGACCGATCACCTTCCCGGACTTAATATCGCACGTTACACCGTCCCAGATACAACAGTCACTGCTGCGGTTGCCCCATGATTCCATCTTCGGGTAACAAGCGATCGGGTAACCATCAGGCTTCCAAATCTTGAACTCCGTCTTGTGCTCGAGAAGCACATCTCTTTGATCCGGATGACACAACTCCTTGGTACGAGAAGCAAAAGCACTGAATAAATTTGAAATGGAAAAGAGAAGAAGAACAATGGTACGAAGAAAGAAGCTCATTGGTGAATAGTTTGAGCCTATCATAGTTTTTTTCTGCCAACAACTACTAGTGGATGTGTTTATATTTATAAGAATATTTTCTCAATAAATAATCAATACATTTATGGCAGTTCCTTTGTTTATCCATAATCATACATTCAGCACCTCTCGTTGGTTCATCGAGATAAACTGATTGAATGGATATGAAAATTTATTGTTGTTTAATGCTAAAAATGAGATAGGTTTTGAAATATACTTGGCGTACCAATCACGGACCGTCACCATATTTGAATAGTCAAACGAACTTTCCCATTGCAGACCAAAAATAAGAAGTTGAATCGTCTGTCGCACGTTGCATTCAAGAGTTATGTAGTTTACATCTACGGAAACTACTTACTTTTAAGTCCCTAAGATCAGCGAGAGCATTGAATGCAACGTGCCTTTAGGTCTCCCTGCAAAAACTTTTACATGTGGTTTTATTCAAGAACATTAACCATCATAGTGATATGACGTGGAGAGGAAGCAAAGGAAGATTGGCGGTGTTGATTGAGTCAAGTTCTACAAACCGTACCTTGTTGCATGGGTTTGTTTCTTAGTTGGGACTCAAGATTGGGTTATTTGTTCGATCTTATTGATATAGGGTATGTGTTCTTTTAATCTTTTTCCCCGCTTTAACCTCCATTAAAAGAGAAGCAAAATATTTTTTTTATTTTTATTTTTTTCACAGAAGCAAAATAATCTATCATGCTTTTTCCGCAGCTGGAACCATATGAAGGATGAACTGATATTGCGCTTTGGAAAAAGAAGATGGTCCATACAAAATTCGACTCAGATAGAGTGTGATCGAAGTGTAACTGAATTCATGATTTGATGATGACGTGATAAGATTGGTGAGACTGACGATGAGAATGATTAAGGCAAGAGATTCGGTTCATGCCAAACAAACCGAGGAAAATCAGGTCAATGCTAATGATGCCGAAGCAGATTGTGAAACAAAGGTACATAGATTATAGAGCTCAAATACTATAAAGGCTGAAAATAAGACATTTTGTTTCGTAAGATTATTGAATGTGTGCTTTTTAGGAACGTCAAGATGATAAGCCGTGACTCGTGAGAGAGAGGGTTCAGGCTTGGGCATTCGGATATTCGGTTCGGTTCCGGATAGGAACCATTTGGTTCTGGATATATCGGATAAATTATTCTTATACCAATAGGTACTCATGAGATTTCGATTCGGTTTCTGTTCGGTTCCAGTTCGGTTTCGGTTTCGGTTTGGTTTTGGATACCCGTTTAATATATAAATCAAATATATGTTGAAAATTAAACTTAATTTGGATCAAGTATTATTGGGCTAATAATTCACTAATCATGTTTATCCCAAACTTAGCCAATATCTAGAATAATCTCCACCTCCTTAACATAAAAAAATCTAGATATTGTTATAGAACAATCTAGATATTTAGATAAAATAATCTAGATATTTAGTAAGAATTCTCTAGATTTAGGATTAAAATATTTGAGATATTTTATAATTTGGAGGCTATAAATACCTCCACCCCCCCCCCTCTCATTTTGTATCATCAAGAAATCATCTAAGTAATAAGAATTCCTCTTCTAAGTTATAAAAGACTTTATTCTTCAGAAAGTTTCTTTCTCTTCAAACACATAAAACACTTTCTCCATCTCTATAAACTTTTTCATTCCAACAAAGTGGTATCAGAGCTAAGGATGACAACTAATGGTGTTCCCTTGCAAATTCCATTGCTCACAAAGAGCAACTATGACAATTGAAGCCTTAGGATGATGGCTGTCTTAGGAGCACATGATGTGTGGGAGATAGTAGAGAAAGGCTTCATTGAACCGGAGAATGATGAGGGTTTATCTCAAACTCTAAGGGATGGTTTGATAGATTCAAGGAAGAGAGACAAGAGAGCTCTCTGTCTAATCTATCAAGGATTAGATGAAGATACATTTGAGAAGGTTGCTGGAGCAAAGACGTCCAAAGAAGCATGGGAGAAGCTTCGGACCTCTTACAAGGGAGTAGAACAAGTTAAGAAGGTACGTCTTCAAACTCTAAGAGGAGAATTTGAAGCACTACAAATGAAGGAAGGAGAACTCATCTCAGATTACTTCTCAAGAGTCTTGACGGTTACTAATAACCTAAAGAGAAATGGTGAGAATCATGGAGAAAGTTCTTCGATCATTGGATTCAAAATTCGAGCACATTGTTACCGTGATTGAAGAGACAAAAGATTTGGAGACTATGACGATGGAGCAACTTCTTGGATCACTACAAGCTTATGAAGAAAAGAAGAAGAAAAAAGAAGATATTGTTGATCAAGTTCTCAAAATGAGAATTGATCACAAGGAAGAAAGTTCCCGGAGCAATCCAAGACGTGGTGGCGGTCATTTCCGAGGACGAGGTCATGGTGTAAATGGACGAGGTTGGAGACCATATGAAGACAACTCTAACCAAAGAGGAGAGAGCTCATCACGAGGTCGTGGAAGAGGAAATGCAAAATCAAGGTACGATAAATCCAGCATCAAATGCTATAGTTGTGGAAAGTTTGGACATTATGCCTCTGAATGCAAAGCTCCAAACAATAATAGAGTTGAAGAAAAATCAAATTATGCTGAAGAAAGGAGTAAAGAAGAAGATATGATATTGATGGCTTACAAGATGGATGAACCAAATGAAGTGCACAAGTGGTACCTTGATAGTGGTGCAAGCAATCACATGTGTGGGAAGAGAAGTATGTTTGTGGAGCTTGATGAATCGGTGAAAACAAATGTGGCTTTGGGAGATGAATCGAAGATGGAAGTCAAAGGTAAAGGAAATATTCTCATCCGCTTGAAAAATAGAAATCATCAATTCATTTCCAATGTTTACTACATTCCAAGCATGAAGACCAACATCTTGAGCCTTGGACAACTCTTGGAGAAAGGTTATGACATTCGACTAAAAGATAATAGTCTTTCTTTAAGAGATAAATCAAACAAGCTCATCACAAAGGTGCCAATCTCAAGCAATAGAATGTTTGTCCTAAACATTCAAAATGACATTGCACGATGTCTCAAGATGTGCTACAAGGAAGAATCATGGCTTTGGCATCTTCGATCTGGGCATCTCAACTTTGGAGGCCTAGAGCTACTTTCCAAGAAAGAGATGGTGAAAGGACTACCTTGCATCAACCATCCAAATCAAGTGTGTGAAGGGTGTTTACTTGGAAAGCAATTCAAGATGAGTTTTCCAAAGGAGTCAGAGACAAGAGCAAGAAAGCCACTAGAACTCATACATACAGATGTATGTGGTCCGATCAAACCAAGTTCACTTGGNTGTTGAGAAGGAAAGTGGTCTTAGGATCAAGTCCATGAGATCTGATCGAGGAGGAGAATTTATGTCCAAGGAGTTTCTGAAATATTGTGAAGATAATGGCATCCGAAGACAGTTGACGGTGCCAAGAACCCCTCAACAAAATGGAGTAGCGGAAAGAAAGAATAGGACAATACTTGAGATGGCAAGAAGCATGCTCAAACGTAAGAAGCTACCAAAGGAGTTGTGGGCAGAAGCAGTGGCATGTGCGGTTTATATATCAAACCGATCTCCAACAAAGAGTGTTTTAGAAAAGACACCACAAGAAGCTTGGAGTGGAAGGAAGCCCGGAGTCTCACACCTAAGAGTCTTTGGAAGCATTGCTCACACTCATGTTCCAGACGAGAAGCAGAGCAAACTAGATGATAAAAGTGAGAAGTACATCTTCATTGGGTATGACACTAACTCCAAAGGCTACAAGCTCTACAATCCTGAAACAAAGAAGACAATCATTAGTCGGAATGTCATCTTTGATGAAGAAGGAGAATGGGATTGGAGATCAAATGATGAAGACTACAACTTCTTTCCGTCTTTTGAAGAAGAGAATTTTGAGCAACCAAGAGAAGAGCCAGCTACACCACCAACTTCACCAACAACAAGTTCTCAAGAAGATGAAAGCTCAAGTGAAAGGACTCCACGTTTTAGAAGTCTACAAGACATCTATGAGGTAACCGAAAATCAAGACAATCTCACTCTATTTTGTCTATTTGCGGATTGCGAGCCCATGAACTTTGAAGAAGCTCAAGAAAAGAAGTCATGGAGAAATGCAATGGATGAAGAAATCAAGTCGATTCAAAAGAATGATACATGGGAGTTAGCTTCACTTCCAAGTGGGCATAAAGCAATCGGTGTGAAGTGGGTGTACAAAGCCAAGAAGAATTCTAAAGGAGAAGTTGAAAGGTACAAGGCAAGATTGGTGGCAAAAGGCTATAGTCAAAGAGCTGGGATCGACTATGATGAGGTATTTGCTCCTGTTGCTCGCTTAGAAACGGTTAGACTAATCATTTCATTGGCAGCTCAAAAGAGTTGGAAGATACATCAAATGGATGTAAAATCAGCCTTCTTAAATGGAGACCTTGAGGAAGAAGTCTACATTGAGCAACCACAAGGTTACATAGTCAAAGGAGAAGAAGACAAAGTCTTGAGGCTGAAGAAGGCACTTTATGGTTTGAAGCAAGCACCTAGAGCATGGAACACTCGGATTGATAAGTATTTCAAGGAGAAGGGTTTCATCAAGTGTCCATATGAGCATGCCCTTTATATCAAAACTCAAAATAATGATATATTGATTGCATGCTTGTATGTGGATGACTTGATATTTACCGGCAACAATCCGATTATGTTTGAAGATTTCAAGAAGGAGATGACAAAGGAGTTCGAGATGACTGACATTGGATTGATGTCATATTACCTTGGCATCGAAGTGAAGCAAGAAGAAAATGGAATCTTCATTACTCAAGAAGGTTATGCTAAAGAGGTGATTAAGAAGTTCAAGATGGATGACTCAAATCCAGTTTGCACGCCAATGGAATGT